ACTTGTCGTCAGGATGCGTCTCTGACAGACAAGCTTCTTCCGGTCGTGAATCGAATAAACTAATGGCTCTCTTGGCAAAGTCTAGAGTATCTTTATTATTTCTGAACGGACTTGAAATATATTGTTGTAATAGTTTTATTGTTGGGAGAGGCGAGGCGGGAAAGAGGGAATAGTAAATGTTGCCAAATATGACGCGTTGCAAGGGTTGAAAACCTATATCTTTATCTATTTTTGGAAGTGCCGCTAGTACTCGCAAATAGTCTTCTCGTATTGCGAATCTCCTATCGTCTGACTCAAATCAAAACACTGTTCTCGAAACACACTTTTCACTTTATGCGATATGATATTTTATCTAAAAGTACATACAAGTAGCACGTTAATAAAATATTTGTAGCCGTTGAGTTTTCAGCCAGAATTATAGAAAGTTTGTAATGTAAATTTTTTTCAGCGGCATTTATAATCATATATCGTGCTTTCTATCAGTATACACATGTACATTTTTATTTCTGGAAAATTTTGTAATCATAAATCAATATTTTCGATACTATCGATATTTTACTTCAACTCTTTCGACTTTGGATAAAGATATTGTTTTATAATGATTTATATCATATTTTTTCACATATTTTTTAATATATTGGCGAACGCTGACAATCGCTCGCACATCAATATATTCTGTTCGACGTTCTTATTTCATGTTCAAGTAAAGGCAGAATTTTTTGAGTAGCAGACTTTAAATTTATTTGCTGGATAATTTGGTTTGCTCGTACTTCACGCGTTCGCAATATCGGTAAAATATGTTTTGGACGAGCCTGTATGTCAGTAGCACGTGCTTGACTTTCTCGCGTGCATCCTCGCGCTTTCTTGCGGTGCGATTGATCGCCGACTGGCACGTCAGCAGCGGAAGTGCACGACCCAATGGAAATGCATACTCGATTATTGCAATAAAAAATCTCACCTACGTGCGTAACGAGCCTACCGTTACAATGAACAGCAAAAAAGAGATTTATTGCTTTTTCATGATCGGGTCATAAATAACTCTAATAAAACATGCAATATGTTTTTGCATATAAACAATTATCATTAGCAAGTTTTTAAGATTTTAATATTTCCAGAATGAGTTAATATGTACGATCAGGTTAATTTTTACGCTTTTTATATTTGAATATCTGCATGCGTGAATTTTTACATTAATATTTATAGTACTATGCATTTTTTTTGCGATGCTATGCTTGATATAAATACGTTTAAAGCAAGCAGTAACTTTGCGAGAAATCAGTAATGTCTAGAAAGCTGAAATGACATTTCCGATCAGTTTGATACTACCGCGGATGCGATTTCACAGTGAATGCATATCATATAGCCTTTATCAGAGAATTTTCATAAGTTTATCTACTTATGACAGACATGCATGTTCCTGTTTCACTCGCAAAATTACGCATGTCGATATTCTTTAATTTGCCGATTATTCTAATTGTATAAAATTCGTGATTTTTATTTTTTAATTAATTATAATTTTGTGTAAACTTATATCGTTAAATCGAAATTCTTTAATAATATATGTTACGAAATATTACGAATTAATCAGTATATAAGTATGTATAAGATAAGTGCAGTGTTAATTATCTACAGTGCGCATCTATTTACGTTTTATGCGTGGTGCGCATATAAAAATATCAATCCGCAACGCCGAAATGGAACGCGATAACAAAAATATTTTCGCGTCGCAATCTAGATCAATTAAATATAATATAAATTCAGTCTGAGACTGCGAAAAGTTTGTCCAGCTGTGCGAAAAGGGGTCGCGGAGATTCTAATACTACTCTCTATTTCCATCTAGTCTCTCCTCTCTATTTTGCAATGAATCGCTTGTCACAATGTCTGCCAAGTCCGCCCGGGATTTTCAGGCTTTCCGCGTGCTTTCGTACGAGATGACAATGCGTCATGACCTCGAACGCGTCGCTATGCGGATTGCACCCCGTGCAATCGTGTAATTCTAACCGTCGTTCGTCATCCGATGTACATGCCGGTGCACGTCACTCGCGAAATTTTTCGCATATGCACGCTCTTCGCGCACTTGGCCGCCTCAATCGCAGATGCACCTGCGAATTCCCGTCCATTTCCTCATATTCCGATAAAACCGATATCTTGAATCACGAGTTGAAACTGCTATAAAAAATGGAGAGAGAGAAACCAGTGATAAAGAAAACTGTAAGATCGCAATTTTTTTAAGAACAAATTTAAAAATCGTAAATATATAAAATTTCTGTCAACGTAACAAATAAGAGTCTTTGAGTATAAAAATTACGTTAGACTTGAGTCTTTAAAAAATATTGAATTATCTTGTAAATTACGTGAGTACAAAAAAATGTCTATTATTAATATAATCTGTAGTATTACTGTTAAATTGCAAGCACGCTCGCCTCTTAATGTACAGAGCAATTTGCTTTATTACGTTCGTTCTGCAAGAAACAAAGTACTCGCGCGCCTAAGATTAGGCGTACCTTTCGTACCGCGCGAATGGCGTGTTTAAGAACAAGTTTTATAGTCCACGTTCGAGATAATCTTCTTATTTACTTGTTTATGTTTGTTACGTCACTTGGACTTTATCTAGGACAAAATGCCGAAGATAGCATTAAAAGGAAAGAAAACGTGTCTTTTGAAATTAACAGAGACGTAAAACAAACTTTTATAAAAGACTGCATTCTCTCGTAAAGTTTGTGCTTCTACGGTTCTTTTTTTTCCTGAATATTCTTCTAATCCTTCTTTCGATCCACGACTGATAACGTCAATCCTATCTATCTATCCTGTCAATCGCGTGACTCTGTCACGTTATTCCGCACGTGATCGACACTTGAGCAATTAAAAGTTGTTATTCGATTAAAATTCGACACCTATAATTCATAGCTCACGTGAGGGACCTCGATAATCGTAATGTGTGTTCATAATTAAATGGGAGTTATTGATAGAAGGCAGGGCATCGATGATTGAAGTACGCCATAAATTTTTACGCGCATCCTTAAGTATACTTCAGAAATCAACACTCGTTTATTCTCGCTCATATAATTTATCGATTGACGTCATATCGATTCGCGAAATATTTTCGACAATATTAATAATTATAAAATATTCGGTTTGCGTCATCACATTTGCAGTCTAATATTCATCTTATTGAATTAACCTTTTTTTTTATTTAATACAGCTGAAAGCGGAGAACACACTTTTCTTGATCGTGCTTATAAGATTAGCGTATTTTTTTTTAAATTAATTTTCCGAATTAACTGTCGCATAGTGTTTTCTTCCAGCTGATTTACGGCTGTCGCTCGTAATCGTGTTTATGAAATTAAATATTTATGATGTAATCTCGCAAATGTATGCCGCGAGAATATGAATCACCGGCAAACCGCCTCGATTTGATTTTGACGTGAGATATGCACGTGTGTTATGCGCGACCGGCTGCTTCAGATGTTCTCTCACGGAAGAAAATACGACTCAAGCTCTTTGTCACGACAATTATTAATTAAAGAAAAATATTGACAACTAATAATTGGATAATCTAATTTAACAATATCACATTTCAGTGCACGAGACGCAATTACATAATATTCTACGTGCACTCATTAGAACTCGCACTATCGATCCGCTAACTAATCTAATCGCCTTGTCGATTAGATCTCCAATTGAAATCTTTATTACAAACCTATTCCCCCCCCCCCTTTATTCAATTTGATAATATTATATAACAACGGGCTCATACTTATTGTCTACGATCGGGCATTAATATTTTCGTGTAATGTTCTCTTGTTTTCACGAACAAGATAAGCACTTGGATGCGAACGAAAAATAAGTCAATTATATCGCTGTGATTAAAATTTCACGATAACACGTTCTTGCACGTGTCACGTACAATGTTGGTCGTTTACGAAAACTATACGAAAGCTCGGAATCGGTCTCTCGCGACGATAACGGGATTCGCGAGAAGTGATTGTTGTTCAGCGATCGCGAAAGTTCTGCGACGAGGATGAGACGAGAATCGCCCGGGGAGATCGTCGCCACGCAATCGTGTCGGAATTAACCGACGAATCGCCTTTTTATCTCGCCCAAATATTTCGCACGGTAGAAATATAACTGTCAATTAATCCCACGATAGCATGCATTGCACGTTGCATTCTGGAATACGCAATTAATGCATCACGTTTTCTCAAAATAATTTTGTGTCTAAGAATATAATAAAAAATAAAATTATAATTATATTAGAAATGATAGCGTTTCTATGTCGAAAGTGATAATATTTCTGTTATTATAAAATCTTGACGACAATAAATCGGATCAGTTTTAAAACAATCGTACATATTTTTTTGTCGTAAATTAAAGCGAGCAGCTTTCGTTGTTTATATTAAGAAAAAAAAACCGAAACAAATTTCGCAGAAGGTTTCAGCTTGCAATCCTTCATCTTCCTTCTTTTTACTCGAGTTCCCGAGTTGTGACATATCGCGATTGAAATCCGAAAGAGCCGAACAGTTGCATTATAACAATAAGCGAGCAATTTCGCGAAACAGCCACGGTTTCAAGATGGTCGAAGGAACGGCAAGTTCTTTCGCGATCGCGAAACGACGCGGTCAAGCGATCGATCTAGAAGAATCGCAGTCGCTCGTCCGATGCGTGCGTGAACTGTAACGGTTCCCGTCGACATTACCTGACGCAGCGACGGTTTTTGCGGACACGCGTACGCAACGTTTCAAGGATTTTCCTCATGTCAGATTCTAACGAAGTCGGTTTGCAGACGGAAGAGGAGAAACGAATCGCGGTTTCGCGTGACTTTGCCCCGTCGAAATTTATTCTCCGTCTTACGTCCGGTGTCGCGGCGATTGCATAAAGCGGCGATCGCCGTGCGTAATCGGACCGCGTGCACGATCGACGTGGGTGGACCGTGTCGATCTCGTATGCATCTCGAGAAGAATACGTATCTTTGTTTATGTAACTCGAACGTCGCGCTACTTCTTTTTTTTTGTCCTCGACGCGATTCATATGCGCAGGCTAATTTTCCAGAATCAGGAGCGCACAATCGATCGTGCGAGACGAATATCGCAGATGCGACAGCAAGCCTTGACAATCGAGTCGCAATGTTCAAAACGTCAAAATGTACATATATTTTCTTCTTAAATCATATGGATCTATTATGTTGCTATAATTATATAATGATTAATTATTCGCATTCTTTTTAATCCTCGAAGGAAATTCTCAAAAAAGATGTTTTTTTCTAATCTATCGATATTGGCATCATGTCGTGAGATACTCGCGGATATCTGCACAAATCTAGCGTATGTATAAAAAGAACTTACAATAATATGACATGATAATTGAAAGAACAATAAACGTTTCCCTATCTTGCATCGATTTCAATTATATCTATTTTAAATTCTATATATTATAAATAAACATGAAGAAATAGATATTCGATTCACACGAATTTTGACTGAAAAAGACATTTTGTGATGTCCTCAATTAATTTTATTCGCCGATGAATTTTGTTTTAACATGATAACGGCGTTCGAAGCTCCCGCCAACAGAAGCGTTACAATTTCGTTGGATTAGGCAACGCCAATGTCGACGACGCAATGGTGTGATCGAACACGCAACACGTGAAACACACTGTTAAACGTTCTACTTGAAAGCAAGTGTACAGAAGTCTTCTTCCTCGCGATTTCTTCCTGGAAGAGGACATCGGCGTCACTGGCAATCTCTTCTGCGAAGTTAGATCTGCGCGTGAAGGGGGAATCGCTGTAAGTGGAGAACATCGATTCGCTTGAGTCTATAATCGCTGACACGTAATCATGACCAACCTAGCGCCACGCACGTGACCTACTACCTCCTCCGACGCAGGCTGGCGCTTAATTTAAACGGAATCGAGAAGCTTAAAATACGCGGGATCAGAGAGGAGAGAAAAGAGAGAGTTATTTCACTGCACGTAAAAGAAGCAAAAGTCATATCGTACTGTCTACCATCAGTGCTTTATGCTTATCAATTCGTCAATATTAAAATTGAACAAGAAGAGCAGTTTGAAGATAATCGTTCATCTCTGATTCTCGTCATGATCGATAAGCGATAACGCGAGGTAAATAAATCGCGAATCTAGAATAAATAGAGTAACGAATGCTACGCAAAAGATTCAGTTCGATTGGATAGAGTGAATCAGCTACCCGCCCTCGATAAGGTGAACCGAGCGATAAGCGATTTCGGGGTCGTGCGATCGTCGAGAAACGAAAAGAATCAAAGGCGACATGTTGCAGATTGTCGTTCGTAGAGCGACGTTCAGTCGTTTCTTGGAACTTTTAACGGGTAGTTCGCCGTTGCGCGCGCTCTCTAGTATCACCGGCACCAGAATGACATCGACCGGATGTGAGGACCGCAATCAGAAGGTCGTCCCTAAGGACGAGGTTGTCAGGTTCATCGAAGAGTGCATGTGCAAGGCTGGCACCACGGTGGAAGACGCGCACGTCGTCGGTCATCATCTAATGATCGCCGACTACAGAGGCCACTTCAGCCACGGGATGAACCGGATGCAGATGTACGTGCAGGAAATCGAGGCCAGGATCACCGATCCCGCCGCCCGGCCGCAGATCATCACCGATTTCCAGGTTCGGGGACGGATCTCTCTCTCTTTTCTCTCGGTGCAGCTGGTGGAATTTGAATATTGCGAGAAAAAATTCCTTAAATAATTTACTCGTTGCACGCTCGTTTCGAAATTTCGTAATCATTCCGTGTTTCAAATACACAAGTCAACGTTTGTTATCAATTGATTGCGACGAATGTCATCAGTGACGTAAATGTTTTTCGAATGCCGAGCCAATTACGGAGGCTGTACGTACGTGGTACCATAAAAAATGGTGTTTGCATATTCCGCGCAGTATGTATAATGATGACGGGACACCCTTTCTCTCCTCCCGGAAAGCCCCTCTCGTATCTTAACAACTGATGACCCGATAAGATACGCGTTCCCCTGATTAATAGGATTTGCTTTCTTCGCCGGCAAAGGCATTTGTCGCCGACTCGTGAACCTTACATATGTTTCCTTTATCGCGTTTTCGATCAGCCATAAATATTAAGCGGCTGTAATTGCGATTGTTTTATGTCTAATTTATTTGGTATCTAATTTATTTTTATGCTAATTTACTTTTATGCTCAACTCGATAGAATCATTCGTGTTGCCTTCGTTGAAATAAAACGGAAAATTTATGAATATAGTTCTGTTAACAATTTGACGTTCGGCAGCAAAACGCGAACGCTAACTATCGCCGTTGTAATTACTTTTTAGAATAGCGTCGCGAAAAATTGCCAACGTAACACGCACGGATCGGAAGCACGTGCGCGGTAATTTATCGGATAGACGCGCCGCGCGGGCAATTTGGCGATCGGTAATAAACGCGCGAACGCTAATTAGCAGCTCTAATTACTTTTCGAGGCAGTATCTTTGCTCGCGAGAATTACAGGTGTCGTTGGAAACACGTGCGCTCGCGTGTATGGTAACTACTGCCTTACTCGAGTGCGTCAAGCGTGATATGTGCCGTACTCTGGTTAGCGAATCAGATGCAATAAACGCAATCTCGGTATCACTCGTAGACTCGCGCAGAAAAAATTTATTTTTATTGAGGAAAGCAATTTTCGGAAAGGTATTATACGAAAGCGAGACTAGATTACGACTCCAAGTTCCACCAGACTCGCCAGATTTTAGGAACACACTTTATTATAGCTATACATTTGGGAAATCTTTTCGCGTCACAACTTTCAGGCGATAGCCCTCGTAGACGGGAGGAACGCGTTAGGTCAAGTGGTCGGCAAGTATTGCATGGAGCTCGCCATAGAGAAGGCCAGGAAATTCGGTATCGGCATGGTGGCGGCGCGCGGCTCCAATCACTACGGCATCTGCGGCTACTACACGATGATGGCGATGGAGCAAGGCCTGATCGGCTTCACTTGCACCAACACGAGCCCGCTGATGGCGCCAACGCGCAGCATGAAAGCCGCTCTGGGAACGAATCCCTTGTCCATGGGCATGGCTGCCTGCGACGGCGACGAGTTCGTCCTCGATATGGCAACCACCACCGTCGCCCTGGGCAAGATCGAGCTGGCCATTCGGAAGGGCGAGGACATCCCCGAGGGGTGGGCACTCGGACCCGACGGAAAAGTGACTCGCGACGCCGAGAAGGCTTACGAAGCTTCTTTATTGATGCCTCTCGGTGGTACAGAACACAATTCTGGGTACAAGGGTTACGGTCTGGCCCTAATGGTCGAGCTACTCTGTGGTATCTTGACCGGAAGTCAATTCGGGCCGAATATCCGCATGTGGAAGACCGGCGATAGGGTCGCCGATCTCGGGCAGTGCTTCATGGCCATTAATCCGGAGGCCTTCGCGTGCGGATCGAAAGAGAGATTGACGACCTTGCTCAAACAGCTGAGAGACCTGCCCGCCTCCGGCGAGAAGCCGGTTCTGATCGCTGGCGATCCCGAGAGGCAGCATATGAAGAAAGTCGACACGGAGGGCGGAATCACATATCATCCTAATCAGCTGGAGGCCTCGGAAAAGTTCGCTAAACATATGGGCGTACGACCGATGAAACTTATTTCTAAATTTGCTTGATTTTTTTTCTCGTCAATGAAAAGACTGATCTGATTTTATTTTTTTTTTATGTTTCATCGTTGACAGATTTTTAATAATTTTCAGTATAGAGTACAAAGAATAATAAAAAATTAATTGGATGCTAATTTATATCCGTTCAAGCACTAATTACCGTGACAATAAATGCATATCTTTTTTTATTTATCTATATTATTTTGATATATTTATATTGATTTTACGTTATGTAATATTTTATTTTCTATTCGAATTATATCACCTAAAAACGATCTCGAAAACGATGCTTTATGCAACGGTCGCTTCCTTAAATATCTATAGGGAAAACGTAACGAGATCGATGTAAGACTTATAAAAAGTCGATGGAGAGATTATATCAATCTCAGAATTGTACGGATAATGTTTATCTGAGGTAAATCAGTTTGCGTGTACAATTCGATGATTTGAGCGGACACGAGGTTCGTTACGATGACATAACCAGCGCTGCGGTTTGATCGCCGCTCGATGATGATGATGATGGCCTTGGACTTGTCCGCTCGTTCTCGATTACAGTTGTTGCGGCTTCGCAAGTGGGTGTCGCCGATAATGTGTAAACTTGGCGGATTATCGAAAACAAATAAGTCGCAAAACACGTGAACATTCAGACTGTTTTATAAGTGTTATACAAATTACACTCTTTTTTACTTGCGCATTTCGTGCCTATATAAATTGATACGAACCAAACATAAACATATTATTTTTTTATAAAAATTATATTGGTGGTTGCTTTACAGCCTGTATTTTAATATAATATACATATTTATGTGCTCAAATATAGAATCATATAGAATAATATTGTATACAATAATATGCTATGTCTATATATCTTCTTCCAGAATTGTCCCACATATGTATAATTAGATTTATAGAACTTAAAAGATTCATTTAACAAGAAACTCTTCTCTTGTTTTGTTCACTTTTTCGCTCGGAAGCAGTAAACAAGGTTATCAAGCGACTGTGTCGCGTAGACGCGGCGTCTGACTCGAGTTCGCGTTATCAGTCCCTATCAAGAGAGGACAAGATTATAAATGCTAATGTTCTTAATTTTGTTCATTTCTTAGAATCAAAAGCTATACAGTTAGCGAAACGAACAGAGGAAAAAACTAATTAATTCGCCAAGTCCAAGATGTTTTGAGGATGGTCTACAATAACTTTTTGTCAAAAAAATTTTTGTTGCATGCCTCTCTTGATCAGCAAACACCTGGTTTTCTCACTATATGTTTCAAAAACAGATTTCTCTTTAAGAGTTCATTGACAAAATTGGCATTTCGTTTCGTCAAATGATCGAAAAGATTGCCTATCACGAATGTATGTCGTGTTTTCTCGGTTAATGTGTATAGATAAATTTAAAAATCTACGTGAATTTTTTAATATTTTTGTATCTTAAACACAAATCCAGTTATTAGAATTATCTATCTTTTGTGGCCATTTCTAAAAATCTCATAAAATTTCGTACCACAATGTCTCTTTCATCTGTTACATTTTTTTATTAGAATATTAAATAATACTTCTGTAATAGCGTTGTAAACTACAGTGTCCGTCACGCACGATGCAATTAGAGCTTCTCGCGGCGAAGGTCGGTCGCAATTATCACCATTGACTTTACTCCGAAAAGGGAGCCTACGTAAGCGGCCGTGTGTGGAAAGAAAAGAATCGGTCTTAAGAAAGGCGATTTTACGGAAGACTCGTTTTAGGAATAAGCGCACGCGCTAATCGGCTGTCGACAAGCGTGAATCTTAAAATCTATTTGTTTACAGTCGTTTTCTGTTTAAACCTATTGTTACATTGCGCAACGAAATTTTTCCTTGTTGAAAAATTCATGCATTAATTTTCAAAATGAATACACTTATACCTACATTTTCTTTTTCTTGCGAGATAAACGACCGTGACGGCCGATATTTTTCAGTCTCCGCATATTTTTCAGTCCGGCCGAATCAGCAGAAGCACAGGCGGTTCAGAAGTTATCCGCACGCGTTGTTTGTCCCCGCATTATCGAGCAGCCAGGAATGACACAGGCTGTTCCCATCTTACTTTTTCACGCGATAACGCGGCTCGTCGAACGATCCAAGGGCTAGAAGCAATTAAATACTTAAATGAAAAATATGTTGTTTCGCGAAATCGTTATATGCGTTATCACTATTAACGATAAAGTCGAAAATAGAATTTAAACTTGTTTCTAAAACAATTTGCATAATTTATTTCCTCTGACTCAGGCAGACGATCGACGAATTAGTATGAAACACGATTTGCCAAGAGGGAACTATATGACTCATTAAAACGCTGTCGGCTAATAGCATCACGGTCGACATTAATTAGACTTATCTCTTTAGTAGAATCTCCGACTGAGCGTTCGATAATCATATATATTTCCTCATCGATGTATCTTAGATCTAATTCTTCGAAAAGTGTTTTGCAAAAAAATATTTACAAGCTATTGAGACTGCTAGAATTTGTGTACATTATAATGTTTAATTTTCTAGATATAATTGAGATAAATGATATTTACACGTTATTAATCACCAGAATTCAAATCCATTATTGCATCGCGTATAATAAATTAAAGTTATCCTGATATTTTGCACCTTATCGCGAAATTTTTCATATACGCACGCAATTTTTGCAAATCACGTGAGCGTGCAATTCATCGTAAGAAGATAGAGCGCGATGGAGATTGCTGTGCCCGTACAATGTGACTCATCTCCCCGTCGCGGCTAAACAGGAAGGAAGGTCCAATAATTGGACAAACGATCCTGTCCAAAATGCAGTCGTCTACAGTGTTGACGCACGTCACGAGCACGATAATTCATCGCCGCTCCATGTGACTCGCATTAACTAATTCACTGCGATCTAACACACTGTCAGGGGGTCATGGAACCCATGGGACATCCGTGGCGTTCTGAGACTTGCATTCCCATGGACGTTTCATAGCTTGCGATTATCAGCCTGTGCAGCCGACTTTAGTGTTTGCCGAATGAGGCGCGCGCTGACGTATCTCGCTATAGTGTACATTATAAATACTCTCTATATCTTTTATTTGTACTTTTATACGATCAGAAATGTGCTTTTTAATTGTCTGAAGATAAAGATTTTATTACTCCAAGCGAGATCGCGTGGAAATGGCGAAACTGAAAATAAGTTGCGATTCATTTAACGAATAACATTCGATTCGTATTCAAATCCGCGTCTCTTGCAACTGCACAACCGCAAGTATAATCAGAAGACGCGGTAGTGGCTTGGTGTCAAGTGTTTATTTACTTATATGTCAAGCCATGCCGAGTCTCTTATAAATCCATTACAATGCACAATACCGCGATGACTGATGAACCGCTACGCGCGAAAGCGAGCCCCGTGAGGAAATTACACGCGAGAAGTAATAAAAATATGCTCGGATATATTCGTATACGAAATTACTAGAAGCACAAGGATGAAAGAAACGTTTCAATTCTCGCACAATGATGCTCGTTCGCGAGAATGCAAAGCGCGCGTTGATCTCGAAGATTATTGAGAGGTCAGGTCGTTCTAGGAAGGAATTTATCTCGGGTTTACACTGACAATGAATCAACTTTTCAGGAATCTTCGCGATTAATTATCACGATTGTCAGGCGTTGTCGCTCGATACTCGTTATCAGCGATCGCAATCGGCAAATGCGCCTTACACGCTCGAACTCCGCTCGATTTCTTCGCGAATCGCCTCACGGCGATCTGCAGCTCTGCTTACAATTAGACGCAATTGGTGCAATTTCGCGAATCTCTCGCGCTGTGTGCGAATTAATTCATTAACACGATCATAGATATGTAAAACTCGGCGAAATAGAATTTTCGCGTAATCGGAGAACTAGATTGAACTAGAGACATCTTTTGACGTCTTTCGACTTAATGACGTACAAAAATGCCTAATTGCTGGATCGACTTTCATGCGCCGTCAAAGATATATCATGTATATATGAGCCCGCTTTTATAAGTTTTATCTCGTGTGCTTCTTACTTTTGGATATGTAGAACATTTAGAAGAAATATTCGCGCCGTCCGTCGAGATTATTTAAGTGGATTGGTTACGTCTGAAAACGCAGGTAATGTTAACAATATCAATCAAGTCGCTTAAATTTTTTTTCTCTTACGCTACTTCTGGCAATTGCATGGCAATTTTCAAATTCCGTGACATGCTTAAAAATTAATAAGCGCGATGAAACATTTTGTGAGTATCATTAAGCCGTGACGAGAGCGAGGCGTATCGGAAGTTACATTATCACACGGCGTTAATTTGCTGGCGCAAATTTGCGAACTCGGCGGGGCTTTTGAGCGCACTACGCGCGCACGGCATTATCTCTTTGCGTCGCGGTGTCCGATGTAGAAATAAGACGACGAATCAAACAAACGACTTTTACAACCTGCGATCGGTCAACAATTAGAAGATCTTGCTCGCGCGCAAGAGCGGCCGGATCGCCGCTCTTGTTTAATATCTGCACCTCGCTTTCGGAAATCACTTGACATTCGGCCACCGTGCGAGGAGGTACGTAACGATATCTCGTCTTTAATATCGTGTGACTTTACGTTTTTTTTTTTGGACGGTACAAATCAACTTAATTTTCGGCTGCCAAACAATAAAATTTGTGCTCGTTTCTTTACGGGTCGACTACGAGCTGCGTTCAGTTATTTTCATTGATACACTGTAAATATTGTTGGTACTGACGTCCAAATACATGTATAACGATTATCAGGGAAGACATTTATTATCAGAGAATTAGACATTTATCATTAAAAAATAACACCGGGATATCGGAGGTGTCATCGATCGGAGCTGACGGCCGGCGCTGGTTAAGACGACCATCCATCAAATTACGTGGTAATTTTGGCCAATGATAACTCATGACTTTGAAGGCAGCTTCCTACGAGCCCCCGTCGAGGGAAGTAGCCAATTGCCGTGTACGGCTTTCGTACAGTCGCTACTAGAAATGCCGTCAATAAGATTCCTCTCGTGGTAATAATTTTGATAGGATCAGTTGCACTTGTAGCGCATAATACACGATTTTTATATATTTCTGTTATTAAAAATTGAGTAAAAAAATTTTCTCACTCTCGTGTATGTTAGATAATTGGACGCAAATTAATTTTTTAATCCTCTCTTTCTCTCTACAACGTGAATCAAATATAACTGACTAAAGAATTAACAATTATCTTTTAAATAGTAATTTTCATAAATGGTCGCCTTAATTAACGCAAAGAAAAAAAATAAACGTGGGATAACATGTATGCGTAAATACGTTCGCTCTCATCAGCAAAATAGTTTACCACTTTACTCCTGAATTGAATTAATATGCTCGAATTGAATTAAAATGTCGAGTTTGATATGGGGGGTGGCGATTTCTTCCAGCACTGCCCGCGACGTACGCGAGGTGTCCGTTGACAATGGGCAATTTGACCGGCTGTGGGGGGGAAAATCGCGCGTGTATGTACGTGTGTGCGACGTCGACGGCTGTCAGTGCGGCCTAATGAGTCCGTAAATTGGACCAGGCTATAGGGCCTTCTATCTGAGAATTGCACGGTCGGCTCTCTCGTCTCGCTGTCAGTGTGACTCACTGGCTTCGTGTGCGACGAGTTCTCGCTCGCGAATTCCCGAACTTTCAACGTTTCCTCCCTGCCGATTTGTCGCGTTTGTCCCAGCGTATGTCCGGTGTCAGTGTCACGGTGCCCGTCGATTTCCCCGCTCTCCCCCCGTCCAAGGAGAAACTCTAAGGCTTCGCTCTAGGTTTCGGTTTTGCCGCGACTATTCCACGAGGAAAATAAAGAAATACGGTGGAACGAATATCCGATGTATCGCGAAGAGATCGATTCGTCGCAAAAACGCTCTTGGATACAGCGAAGCGAGACGATCGGCTGTCAATTGATTTTCCGTTCTCTCCGGGGAACATGGAATTACATATTTAACATGCAAAAAAGGAGGAGGAGTTTGTAAAGCGTTGATGCATCACGAAAAAATATCGAACGACTGCACACGCGCGGGTGCGTAATCTGTGAAATCGACGACGACCGAAGCGGAGAGCGCAAAAATGGCGATCCAAACCGCGAAGAAGGAACTTCTGGAGGAGACTCTACACCATCATCCGGAAGGTAGCGAGGAGGAAGTGGATAAGGAATGGGAGGAATTCACGAGACTAATGGCGAAATTAAAGGAAAATCGCCGGAATCGACCACACAGGTATATTTGCGCGGAACGTTTCTTTCTTAACGACAGGAAGTAGAGAAACATCCAAATTTCGAGGAAAAAAGAATCCACTATTTGAATGCAAAATAAAAAATGTTTAAAGAAAGAAGATAAGAAAAAATAATTGGATGTGCAGGACTTATAGAAGCAAATAGACAAGAGAATTTTCTAATATTCTTATTAAAATTATTAACAAACTGAAGAATGGGATCAATGATGTTAAGTAGCAAAAAAATTCGAACCTGGAATCTTTTTTTAGACCGTCGCAAGCGTTCTACCCGTGTCCTCCGCCAAATGCGGACGAAGAACAGCAGGAATTCGATCCTTTCGACTATATTAACACGATTGTAAGCAATTCTTTTTTTGACAATAGGTTGAATCTCACGGTCTTCTGTTCTTTAAAGCGACCGCAAATAAATAGTGTGCTGCCTGTATGAGCATGCAGCTTGAAAATTACTAGCCACATTAAAACTTTATCGCTGGTTTTTTCAATGTTTCTAAGACGCGCATTTTATCTCATTGACAATTTGCAAATTTATAGTTAAACTTTAAAGGCATTTACGGTCTGACACATTATGTAACATAAGAGTTACTGCATTTCCTAATAACGTTAATGACTACAGCTTATAATTAAACTGAATAGTGTTGTTGACATATCCAATACTTGTCAACGTTCGTTGCGCGTTCAAGTCTTCAAATATTTATTCTAACGTAGTTCCTTGTCAATTTTTTTTCAATACTCGATGTTATTATATTATATGCAAGTTATTATACATGCGATGAAAATATTCGCTAAAACATAGATGTATATTACTTGCTTTTACGATACACTTTACACGTTTCACATTTCTCGGCGAGAATTAATATTTCACAATTAAATCACCGACTCGGCTAGCTTTGATACAACGCCGCGACGATTTGTCCGAGATTCTATGGTCCGTAAACCATTCTGCAACTGAACTAATGGCGCGACCTTTGGACAATTGCCAAATGGGCGAGACCACATTTCAAATAAATGATTTCGCGAGATCGTTGTCGGACACGGCATTGAAGAAACCGTGCACAATTTTTTTTTCCTTATTATTAACAGTATTTCTGAGTTTGTGACATAATTTCCAGATGACTGTAATATAAATTTGATCTTTAATTTTTTCGCGTTATCTTATTGGCGCCAAGGCACGCTCGATGCTCGTCATGCGAGTGTGCATTACGAAAAGGTGATTTGTCTCTAATACTTGGTCGGAATATATGCGTATACGAGGGGCCTTGACTCATCGCGTATCACACGGGAGAATACCGGCCTTGCCACGTGATGTTCGACTATGCACGCGTGTCGAAATCTTTAGGCAAATTTAGAAATGCCGTCCGGCATGGATCTTAATATTCGTGCGAAACTGTATGGGAAAAAAATTTCGATTTGCATTTCTCTTTTGGATGTTTTTCGTGAGAAGACCATACAAAAAGATATTAAACTTAATTGATCACAAATATCTGCGTAACTTAAAAAGCCATATATTTGGGCGAAAATGTATAAATTCTTTTTCCTTTACATTATTTTTTGTAATACATTATATTATAAAAAGAAGTGTTTCTAATATATAATAAAATATACTTACACAGAAAATGCATCATGCATGTGGCAGTAGGAGCCACTAATAAATGTTTTTCACGTAATCGAAGCTTACTACATGCAGTCTCTTCGCGTCGCGAAATTTAAGATTTACTTTAGGCAGGTTTGAAATAAACTGGAACGTTTCTTGTGATTTATCGGCAGTTCCGCATAATATGGTCCGCACAATATTAAGTGACCGCAGTAATCTGTCAAGTATTATACGAGCGACAGGTGTCTTTTTTCTCGCTGCGAATTGAAAATTGTGACGCTCGGGCCGACTGTTATTTCGTGAAAACAATGCGTACCCGCGTGCCCGACGGGCACAGTTTAACAACGCGCGGTAAACGATTCACATTAGTCATCGCAATTAACTAGTTGATCAGCTGCCAACAAATCGCGAACGATTCTCGTGACTGTTTCACAATTCGCGGCGGTGTAAATACGGAGTTTCAATGACGTTTGTAAGTACTTATTTGTAATGCAAAACTTTCTGCACGTGATTGAACTAAAGCAAAAAATGATAAAAGGATCCTGAATTAAAGTTGTAAAATTTCTCACACTATTATCCAGCAAATTTAATTATTTAAATTTCTAAACAGCTGTAACATAGTTGTATTATATATTAATTTAACAGTTGTGTAATGCTGTATTATATATTAATTATCTCATTCTGCCGATACGGCATAATGCTTTAATTTACGTCTCGGTATCTGAATTCCCTATGATCTCCCGCAGTAGGGGAACTAACTTATGCCATTTATGCAAAACGTCCGAGGTGGATTTCAGGAAACATTAATAGCGCGTGTAATCGCGTGCACCCGCGTATCAATTCGCGGAGAGCTTGATAATTCAAAGGAGTACGCGCGATCTTTGCAGAGACGCCTTTCTAAGCAATGCTTTTATGCCCGCGAATGAGCTCTTAAGGACTCGTTATGCTTATCGAGCACGCGTGACCAGCATGAAGAGATCCTCGTGTTACCACGACACACACACGACATCATTCTATGTTATATGCACATACATATGTACATGTAATATGTATGTGTATATGCATATATTAACAGCAGTGGTTGAAGCTGCACTCTCGTGATCATGCAATTTCCGGATGCATCGGTGCACTGCCTGGCTTAGCTCTCTTTTACGGCTAGTATTAGTATTTTCGAGTACTGCCAGTAATTTGCAAGAGTCATATTAATAAACATTAATGCTTACATGATGGCAAAAGAATTAGGACAGCTGTAATATGTGGGATGAATGAACAGTTCGAATTTGGGTAACTTCTGTTTTACGCACGATGTTTCAACCGATCTTCAAGCGTACTCATCATCCATATCACCAATCGGTTAGGCCTAATTACTAAAATTGGATTAGGAGCCGATTGCCCAGTGGAACGTGGTCATCATTGACGTCACGATCGTTCGTATAGCCGTCGGCTTTTAGGTATTCCTGTATTTCAATTTATATGATCGAACTTGTCCGATCTTATCTAATCTTGTGTTTCACGCGACGTCTTCGTATTTAATTCGATTGTCCGACGATTAAAGCGCGCGACTGAATATTTCAACTTATTTTCTCCGTTATATTATTATTATTTTCTCCACTTGTACGGCTCGACATACGTCGAGAATTAAAATGTATGCAACTGTCAGACTAAAAGGATTTCTAGGCCTGCGATTAAATCAAACCGACGTCTCATGATATGGTGTCTCAAACTGAGGTATTGAATTCAATTCTGCGATTTGTTGCACGATATCGTACAGAATAGTCGCGCTGTAACTGTTCGGCAAAACCTGTCACACACATATTTATATTGTAAACGAGATCCGGAGACGCTGCCAAAATGTGGTATTACACAGCGGTCGTAACCGAGATCGTTGACGCTCCGATCACAAGACTGAGTCGATTATTTCTATGTTGCTGTCGAATTTCCTTTTACAAGATAATCTTTAAGATAACACATGCACATTTCTGTGTAAAAGAGGATGATTCGTGAAATTATCGTGATAAAGAAACGTCACTTATAGATATGTATTGATGCTTTTTACTCGCCATAATATTATTTTTTATTACCCACCGTTCGCGCGATAACGTGCGTGACTGATTATTGAGCGGTCGATTAGAGAACAATATAAATTTAAAGCTGACGGATAAGTCAACCGAGATGTCGTGAAATTTACGAATGTATAAGTGATTTCGGGAATACTATGAGTTTATTAAAAAAGTGAAAACTGTACATAAGTGGTGGCGAATAAACAACAGGCACGACAGCGTCTCGTGCCAAGTATATTTTTGAGCGAGATCTTGGGACACAGTATATAACAAATAAATCTAACAAATATATCACACATACGTGTGACGCGATGGAATCCAGAATTGAGAATTTTTCGAAACAAGCGACGTTATACAGACGTTACACGGGTTTTGCTGTAGAAGGTGGTGGATCTTGAAAAACGAGGGCGCGTGCCAGGTGAATTTACACGGCATCAGGTGATACGTCAACAGCTTATTCGACGGCAATAAACAATAGGATCTCGCCCTGTCGACGCTTGGCTGGGCGATGCTAAAAATAAGGATTTTGACTGTTGCCAAACTTCAACAAATATTCCCGCTGAGGTTTGAAGCCAGACATCCACGAGACGTCGCCGTTTTAGTTTGTTCTCGTGTGCACACACGCACAAATGCATAGTATCATATTTTTTAAAAATAAAAACAGAAGCGTTCGTGAAAGTTCGCGCAGACGTTGCCGCAGGTTTATCGCGGGCCGCTAAAGTCGCCGGGACAATCGTTCAGTGTGAATAAAAATGTAATAGACGTAAACAATATTACGGAAGACGTAAGGAAAATTATAAACAAAATTAAAGCATAAAAATTTAAAAATTTGCTACTAGAGTGAGTCGGTACTAAATAACGAAACATTGTCTTGGATGACATTTCGGAGAATATAAATAATATTCGTGTAGTGATGGAGAATCTAAGAATTTATCGAAGAAACAAAACGCGCAGATTTCTACATACGTATTAAAGAAATCTATATTTGCAGTGATCAGAATTTGCGTGACAATTTAAAAATTTGTTCATATCAAGAAAATATTAAATAACAAAGAAAGTAAGTGACGTTGAGTACTTTCAGTTGAGTATTTTTTCGTTTGATTTTTATTAATTATTTTTATTTATTTTATTAGCCTCAAAGTGATCATTAAACAAAGATGCGCAAGAAACGAAGAATAAAGATTATACAGATTAAACAAAATTATCATATTTTGAGATTTATTAAGTACAAGTTTTACTTTAAACAATTTTACTGACTTTTGAACTCGATGATATCTTCGTTAATTCTTCGAAATAAAACAAACTTTTTAGTGGAAGTGAATGATAGACGTGAGTTTTTCGAGGAAAAATGTCAGGACGTGGCTGCATTTTGCGGCGGAACTTGAGGATGTAGATTGAAAACGATAATCGTGCGGTGATTTACGAAATATGGAGGAGAAGCCGAGGGGAGATGCACCCTCCGGCTTAAATCCGAGTTTCCGCGAGTCGAGTGAACCGAGTGACGAATCCTCAATGCAATCCGTGAAACTACTTGCCAAGCTCTCTTTGCCGACCTTGATCTTGAACAGGGCATACTTTGTTTGTAACGACAACTATCTTGTAAGTGCACGTACTATTGCAGTTCATAATCCCACTGTTTTTCCCGCGACGGGGTAGGTTTCCTGTCGAGAGACACTCTCGTCGCAAGAGCGCACAGTTTTCCCGGCCATTACGAACAATTTCGTACAATTGTTTCTCGCGGCCCGCCGGTGATAGCTCGTTATCTATCGTCGCTCGTGTGGAGATGATAATAATATCAGCGTGTAGACAATCGTGACGTATTGCCTGACGAAGCGACAATACATTTTCATGCAACTACACATTTTTAGCGTTCACATTAATATTAACCCTTCCTTCTTGCGTTACACACTTATGTTAAATTAACGAATACTTCGTGGATTTAACGGCGTTTGAAAAAAAAATACAAACCGATCGATGCCAATCGTAAGCCGTTTCTTAGATCATCGATCGCTGCGGTCGTTCCGGTTAACCCCTTCCGTCCCGGGACCGAAAAGGGGGCGGGAAAAAAATCGGCTTAGGAAAAAAATTCACGGCTCATCCCAAATCGCATATCTAGCGTTGTCTTAACTTCTAGTAGTTGTACGACTAATACTTTGCAATGTGATTAATAGAATGCGATACGCTAAATTATAGCGAAATTATTTTAATATTAGGATAATTATTGAATGCAACTTAGTTCTTATTAATAATACATAATATATATATATATACATTTTTCTGCATCATTTCTGCATCGTTTGCATGAAATTTTTGAATGGTACGTGTTATATTATAATTTTATTGAAAAAAATATCATAGCTGATTTATCTTTAAAATATATTAAAATTAATTTTCTTCGAGTAATATTGCAGCTGCTACACACATGCACAGAAAATTAAGAGTGACGGGAAAATTTGTGTAAAATTTCTGAATTTAACGTAAATACATAGGGAATGCATCAAATGCGATAAAAATTATATTTTGCAATGTATATTATAGCGATAGCGAATTGAATTTCACGTCTAATTCCATGAATTCGGATTATGGACTGCTCAAAACTATAGGGTTAAAAATTTCAAATGTGCAAGTCTGTCGTCTCTCGTCTGCGCGTGAATTGATTAATTAGCAATCGAGCGTTCGAAATGACGCGAAACCGGCTGCCTCCAGATGTATGGTCGCTACACGAAGGACCTGGGTGAGTACGCGAAGGAAGAGGCACGCAAGCTCAAGTATCACGAGAAAGCGAGACGAAAATATGATAAGACGAGGGTCGAGGATCTGCGGAAGTCCAGGCGGGGTCCTCTGTGCCGGAAGTTGTTGGCCCTGCTGGCCTTCGCCTGGAAGCACACCGGCGCCCGGCTAGGCGAGGATTGGATCTTCCTTGCTCTCCTCGGTATTATTATGGCGTTCATCAGTTACGCCATGGATCGTGGCATTTCTATGTGCAATAACGGTCAGTGTACTTTGCTTTCGAGAATAAATTCCACTTTCCCAGTGAGAGATTTTAAATAATTATTACATTTGTTATCCAAAAATATTTACAAAAATTGATATCTAAAAAAATCATATAAAATATTTATATATTTTTTAAATATTAAAAAATTATTATCCATTTATATATTTTTGAAAAAAAATTAAAAACGTGAAATTTCTCTACATAGAAAATTATAATTGTGAAATGATTGTAAAATTCTAAATATAAATAATTCCTAATAATTGCACGTTAATGTCAATAGAATTATAATTAAGAGAACTCAATTTTTGCAAAAGTATTAAAGGATAATGCAAAGTCTTTGATATGGCACATTAACGATAATCTCGTTTCACCAGCCAGGATATGGCTCTATCAGGATCTTACTACGCATCCGGCCTTCAAGTACCTGGCCTGGGTATCCATGCCGGTGTGTCTCATTCTCTTTAGCGCCGGCTTCGTGCATATCATTGCACCGCAAAGTATAGGCTCGGGTATTCCGGAAATGAAGACCATCTTACGCGGCGTCGCGTTGAAGGAGTACCTGACCTTCCGTACTTTGATTGCCAAGGTTAGCTAATTACACTCAGAACAACTTGATCCACCCAGTTAAAAGCTTGAGAAAATTAATCCTAAGATCAAGCACGCGCGCGCGCGAGTTGAAGTTGGATTACAAAACTTTCTTAAAGTCCTTAAAAGAGGACGCGTCGTATAATCTCGCGAAAACGGAGGCAGGAACAATAAAGATCGTGATATGTCAAAGGTGATCGGCTTAACGGCGACCTTGGGCTCGGGGCTGCCGCTCGGCAAGGAAGGTCCGTTTGTGCACATCGCCAGTATCGTCGCGACGCTCCTCTCCAAACTGGTCACGAGCTTCCAGGGTATCTACGAAAACGAGAGCAGAAACTGCGAGATGCTGGCCGCCGCCTGCGCGGTGGGTGTCGCCTCTTGCTTTGCGGCTCCGATCGGCGGCGTCCTCTTCAGCATCGAGGTCACCACGGTGTACTTTGCGGTCAGGAATTATTGGCGCGGCTTCTTCGCCGCGGTCTGCGGCGCCACAATGTTCCGTCTGCTGGCGATTTGGTTCCAGCGCGAGGAGACCATCACGGCGATGTTCGCCACCAGCTTCACTATGGAGTTCCCCTTCGATCCGCAGGAGCTCCTCGTCTTCGCCCTGATCGGCGTCGGCAGCGGAGTGCTGGGAGCCTTCTACGTCTGGCTGCACCGGCAATATGTCATCTTCATGCGGAAGAACAAGAGCATGAACAGCTTCTTGCAGAAAAAGTAAGTCATCTCTCAGAAATTTCGAAATCCCGTATCGGAATTCTGGATAATCGCTACAACGCGGATTTCTTGCGTGGGATTACGATCAAGAGGTGACTGCCGTTAATTCCAGTCGTTTTCTATACCCCGGCATCGTGTCCCTGATGGTCTCATCTGTGTCGTTCCCCCTCGGACTCGGCCAATTCATGGCTGGCGATCTGAACACGCACGATCAGGTTTTCGGACTCTTCACCAACTTCACTTGGACGAAGGAGAATCTCAGCGTCGAGGAGATGAATATCGTGAAGCACTGGTCGACGTCGTACACCGACGTCTTCAGCGGGCTCCTTAGTTTCGTTTTAGTCACCGTAAGAAAACTTGTTTTTCGCACAATTATTCAATCGATATTATTCTTAAATAAAATTATACGCTAAGAATACAGGTAAAATTAAAGAAACGTGCTTCGGTTTCAGTTCATCTTTTCGATTATAAGTTCGACGGTGCCGGTGCCATCTGGAATTTTTATCCCCGTATTCAAGATCGGTGCTGCGCTAGGCAGAGCAGTCGGTGAAGCTATGGCTCTCTGGTTTCCCACTGGTGTGCGTTACGGAGGAATAATTACACCTATTATACCAGGTCTCTTTAATTGAATATGCATATAATTGTCTATTGATGACAATAAAATCATATTGTACTGAATTATTAAAAAATTTTATATTGAAATATTTAAAAAAATAACTTATTGCGAACAAGTAAATAAAGACTCATGTTTCTAAAATGTGTTGAACATAATAAAAATGACATCAGTAAGAAAATTTATGGTCGGTTAATACGTTAATATTACGTTACGTTAGTATTACAATTTTAATTGGGTTTAAGAGAACACAAAAGAATTAAATTTATCTCATGGAATCGTTTCATTTTAGGCGGATATGCCACGGTGGGCGCGGCCGCGTTCTCCGGCGCGGTGACGCACACGATATCTGTCAGTGTCATCATCTTCGAGATGACCGGCCAGATCACACATATCGTGCCCATTATGATAGCGGTGCTGATCAGCAATGCCATCGCCGCGCTTCTGCAGCCGAGTATATATGACAGCATCATCCTCATCAAGAAACTGCCTTACTTGCCCGATCTACTTCCATCCAGTTCAGGTACTTCTTTCGCATTTTAACGCGACTTATCTTCTTTTTAGCTGGTTCAAGTTTGAAACGTTCTTGGAGCAATTTTTGAAAAATAATTTGTCTTATTTCTAGTTTTGCACAAAATAACCCATAAGTGCTACAAATATAATACAAAATATTTCGATCATTCAAATATACACTAGAAATAGAAAGTTACTTTCTGCAAAGATAGAAATAGGCCAAATCATTTTTGGCGTAGTTAAAATTTTTTAAATGATCGAGAGGGTGATTTTATGGAACATAAGGATACCTTCCGACGCATGTATTTGATCGAAATATTTTGTATTGTGTTTGTGATACTTATAAGTTACTGTGTGTGAAGCTAGAAATGGGACAAATCATTTTTTAAAAATCGCTCCAAACGTCTTAAACTTCAACCAGGTTTCTTTTCTAATATTGTGCGCTTATACTTTGCAAGCGTTTCGTTCGGAATAAATGGGAAGGTAATTTTTACACTCATAATTTTTTGATTTGTTACAAATTTTACGTAAGCGAAAAAAGAATAATAAAAGAAACTAATTATAGGAATGTACAATGTTTACGTGGAGGATTTCATGGTCCGCGACGTAAAGTACATATGGCACGGCATCAGCTATCAGAAGCTGAAAGATATATTAAAGGAGAATCGTAAGCTTCGTGGATTTCCGCTGGTGGATAATCCGGACTCTATGATTCTGCTTGGATCGATTCAGAGATTAGCGCTAATCAAGCTCATCGAGAAGCACATCGGTCGCGAGAGAAGATTGCAGGTAATGAGATTTCCTCCGCCTTGGAGATTCATTCGCGATTTTATTCTGTATTTCTGTACGCTGTATCGTCGACGTTCCAGGTTGCGCAGAAATGGCATAAGGAGGCGGAGGAGAGGGCGCGCGAGGAAATAGAACGGCAACTGCGAGAGCAGGAGAGGGCGAGGAGGCCTTCGAGATTCGAGGTCATCCCGGCACCGGACATTCTCAAGATGCAGCGGCAGAGTGTTAACGATCTAACGATGTCGCCAAACAACGGCAGCGGTCCTGATCATGTGAGTTTGGCGCACGCCTTTCATACGGTTGACTTTGACGTCAATCGCGGTTGTCCCTCTCCTTAATGCGCATCTCACTCGCCACGATGTGGACGGATTAACGTATTATTCTTCTTACGTTTCAGCATACGTACCATTCGCCGGTGTTTGGATCGCAACCGAAGAAGTCTATCTTGAAGAAGACTAATTCTTTCACACTTAAGGGATTCAGCCCGTTGGTCAGCCCGGCGGTAACGCCCTATACAACAGTTACGGGCGCGGAAAGCAGGCGAGTCACCGAATCGCTTCAACAATTCTATTGTCTCTCTGACATCAACAATTTTTTATATAATATAATATATAAAATAATTAAAAAAGTATCCTGCATATTAATCTATTTTTAGATATATCTCAACACGTTTTATAAGATAATATAAGATAATATACACTGTTAAATCTATAGTGTCAAACCCTATTTAAGTCGCCTCTGCTCCTGACTGCTTAATAAATAATTATTTTTAACTAAAACATTATAGTTATTTTTAAATAAAACAATGGAATTTAATTCAAATTTGGGTTAAATTTGAATTATTTTAAATTATTTAACTTTATTGTTTTAGTTAAAAATAACTATTTATTAAGTAGAAGTAGTGGGGACTTAACTAAGATTAAATTTGACACTATAGAGTATAGATTTAACAATGTATATCACCGTTTTCTCCTGTTCTCATTTTTTCAAGTATCTTGAATATTTTTAATAAATAGATATTTTTTTGTGGAATTATTAAATAATATGGAATAGATCGTGGAAGAATAATTATTAATATGATCACTCGTATCGCAGGATTCGCTTGGCGTTCGAAGCGATCTTCCGCAAGTCTGCCACGTTACAGGACGTGGATCCCGATCCGGAGCTTGGTGCCAGAGGGAGTCAGGACGCCATCAACGCGCAGTCCCATACGCCCATGCTGGCCCCAAGTCCGGCGACATCGAAGAAAGTGCAATTGGTGAGCAAACATCGTTGTTTCCACTAAATACAACGTTATACATAACGTTTGCATATGTTAATCAGCCTCGGGAGAGAGTGATAGACATGTCGGCCGAGGACCAGAAACGGTGGGAGGAGAGCGAGATGGCACTCGAGGTGGACTTCTCGAGGTGCCACATCGACCCGGCTCCTTTTCAGCTGGTCGAAAGAACGTCCTTGCTGAAGGTGCACAGCATCTTCAGCATGGTCGGCGTGAATCATGCTTACGTAACGGCCATCGGCAGATTGGTCGGAGTCGTTGCGCTGAAGGAGGTATGACGTACAACGTTCACCAGCCAAGAAAATCGGCAAACGGACGTCTTAATTGACGGGGAATAAAAATTACAAAAGTTTAATTTAATTCCTAGAATTTCACACGCGAATTTAATTTTGCAGCTGAGGAAAGCCATCGAGGACGCGAACGCCGGTATCCTACCGATGCATCCCGAGTCGCACATCGCCGAGTCGCTCTCGAGCTTGGCGAGAAGCGAGACGGACACGGAGAGCAACAAGAACATCAATGCGATAAACTCCATCGGCTCCGTGAACTGCGAGAAAGCGGACAAAATCTGAGGGTTATGCCGCGCGTCGAGACGAGCGAAAGCTTATATTGTGATAGCCACGTCGCGTGACTGTTACGCGACGCGGCCCGAATAATGCGAGAGAGTCGTGTTTTATCTAATTTTTCCTATCCTCCTTCCTTCTCTTCCCCAATCATTCACGCGATTTGGGAGTGACGACGGAGCCGTTACGCGTGTGTAACGCGTAACGATACTCTCTCAAACACTTCTCTCGTACTTAAGCCTTAAGGTGAGCGAAATAACGAAAATCCCGTGTAAAGACGCGAGTGCGTGAGATAGTATTAAGTAAGCTCCGTTCCGGAATTTTTCCTATTTCCATTCTAACGTACGATATCGTACGATATTTAAGGCTGCACATTCGGAAACATCACCCGAATGCCCCCATGTATCATTTTATCCTTCTTATTCATCGAATATTGAGTAAGGATACACGGGGACACGCGGACGACGTTTCCGAACGCAGCTTAAGTGACGCGATCGCCGATCGCGTTCACATTTATGCGCGCAGACTATTTTTACCGGATAGATAGATAGATAGATGGATTTACACATCAAGAATCATTTCTTGATGGATGATTTTTGCAGGAAATCATCTAATCGAGAAAATGTATAGCGAAAAATACCATGCGAAAAAAACGTGTGTTTCCTTCGTTATACATTTTGTTTAGGATAATACGCGTGCTTACGTATATAGGTTTGCACGATACGGGAACGCGCGAATTCGGTCTGGACCGGAATCAGACTGAATTTCATATCTTGGCCGAGCTAAGAGTACGTCTGTACGAAATACGCTGTGAATCGCGAGTACCTATGTTGCTACAATCGACAAGGTAAATTTTCTTTTTAAACGGCTAAACGGGTCTCTCGACGGAACAAAAGTGATTTGTAGTGCCAAAAGCAGCGACGCTGCACTTCCCCGCGTGAAACGTGCAATGATTAATATAATTCTACGTACAAGATCATTCAGGATTCCTACCATTCAGGACGCCTCGACGCTCCTCTAGCTATAATAGTAAGTATCTGACCATGGTTGTGCCAGACTATTATTTATTAATGTAATAATTAATTATATTGTCAAGTAGACGAGAAGATCGCCGTGTTGTAGATTGAACTTAGCGAGGGAATGCAAACAATTCGCTTTCATTCTGTATGATACTTAATTTAGAAGCAGGCCGATAATGATATCTTGGATATTTTCTAAGAATTCTAGCATCCGGTTATTTCCGTATCAGAATGAAGAGCAATTCACTATTAGATGAAAATAATTAGGATTTTAGAGGTAATAGATTATATATATATACATATGTATATCGCAGTTACTATTTCGATAGTTTTTCATGGTGCAATTAAGACGATACTGTCTGTGCCGAACTTTGTATTATTGTTATCGCTGCGGTCCACAGAATGGCTCTAACGTCATTTTTAATATTCCGTCATTCGACGCGAAAATTTCTGACGACATTTAAGGTACGTTTTACATTCCACTCGACTAGATTCTCAACTTGTTAGATTTGTACATACGTTTATATACGCCGCGTACTAACGCATCGTATACGACAGTGCTGTACGCCGATTGTAAACACATTGTGCATCGTGAAAAGACATTAAATAATTTATTATATTCGTGTGTTCGACAATATTTATCAATTACGAAAGGAACATGAAGAATATGATTAGACGTGAACAGGCTTATTTTCACAATCCACGATTCGCTAGCAAAGCTCGATATAATCCTACAGTACATTTCTACTTAATTTATTTTTAATGGAATAGGAGGAGCATGAAGGGGAAAATTTCCCCGTGATAAAAATAATTTATACAGATAAAAACACAGGACCGCGTTGCGATCCTTAACCCTCTCATAGCGACGATGAATTTATAATCTTTAATATAACTAATTTTTAATACTATAATTTAAGGCTCAAAAGCCTCTTTGCTTAGTAAAACGCTATACGTTTAAACACAATAGTCTCATTTGGTTATAACTTGTTCAGACTGAACCAACCATGAAGGCATTTAGGCACCGGTCCTGGTGTCTCGAAGGTAGCCCTCGCTATTTCCGTAAATGTCACAGCGTCCAGGATCAACAAACCGACTCGAGTCTCCTCATTTGTCCAGACAAGCGAGCTCACGACCACGCCGTCGTCCTCGTTCTAGACAGAAAAAGGGCAAGAGAAAAGTAATTTAGCTCTTGTCTTATTTTTCCGAGCAACAGACGGCGCATAATTGATACCTTTCCGTCGGGATTCGGCACGAAAATTGGTTCGCTTGGGTAAATACCGTCTTCCTGCCACATTTTCTTGGTCTTTTGGTAGATGTCGACCTTGATGAGCTGCGAGGAAAATTTTATTTTATTTATACCGAGTAAAAATGCCTCCGACATCTCGTCGCGTTAAATTATATATAACAACGGTAAAGACTCGCCAACCCCTCCGTCCAACGCGCGATATACTTTAGAAGCTCGTAGAATGCACTGACCGTTCCGGGATTATTTAGATCCATGTCACAGGAAATCGCGTAGAAGTATCGGTACTCCTTGCCGAGATGGAAGTCCGTGTTTATTCGCGGCGTCTCGCATCCGACGTCGCAGAGCAGCTCCGGCTTCACGAAAATTTTGCCGTCATGTAGTCGGTGAGCGACCGGTTTTTTCTGTAGAGCGCTTCTATGTTTGTTTCGCCAGAAATTCGCTTTATCGTCATATTCAATGTCGTCCGCGTTGCCGTTGACGTCGTTCGGCCTGCGATCGATCGACTCGCCGTTGATATCTCGGGACGTCTCTATAGTCTGATGCACCGTATTAATCATGACGAGATTGTGCTCTAGTGGCGTTTCCGGACTCGGTTTTCTCATTGGCAGTACGAAACGTAGCGGCCTGGCGCGGAACAGCCTCGAGTAATCGATGTTTCCGTGCATGTTCTGCGTTAACATAAATATCCGTTAAGAATTATATGTTATATATAATTCTTAATACGTGGAGGTTCGCTCTTGCCGCGCGAATATCTTACTTTCATCGCGTCGATGTACATGCACTCCAACATCTTCGGGTTTCGGTAACAGCATACATCCAGCACGACATAATTCTTGTCACGAGTCTCGAACTGATTGATGATGTGGAGGTAGAAAAATGTCTCCGCGACGAACGTCCTCACCACTTGACCTGTCTGCCTTGAGATCACGTGGATGAGAGTCTGGTCACGAGAACAATCGACCTTGATATTAATAACGACTTAATGTGCTTATCCATCTAATTTTATCGACAAATACATACGCTTTCGTTTTCGTGCCACTTGAAGGAGTTCATCATTGCTTCTTGTTTGTAGTGACTCTTTGCCATCTTAAAGAAGGAGACAGACAATGGTTGTTCCACTATGATGAAGAAATTCTCGGTAATGCCAAAGGTGTGCATGTACGATGGGTTTAGCAACCACCTGCTTGGCACACTGGCTACGATCGTCGCTTGATCGAACATCGAGAGTTCTTTTTCTTTTCCAGAACCATCTAAGATTATTGCATTCAAATTCAATGAAGTGTATCACTTAAATACTTTAGATATAAATTTTGATGTGTTAAGTATTTTAATACATGGTCTAAAATATTGAAACTTGTAAGAACTCGAGGAAATTAATCTAATTTTTCCGTGGCAAAATTAATTTTCTTACGCTATTAGTGCAGTTTCTTCTTTCGAACATTTTTATTTACGTTATTAAAAATTTTTTTTATTATTCAAAAATTTTTATTTACATTATTGCAAAAGACAATATCTTACCAACGATCACGCGATTAGGAGAGAAGCGTACGACGCTGTATCGAGGTCCCGTCGACGTTATGCTCAATCCTACATTATAAACTGTACTGTCGTTCATAACGTGAGGATGCGAGGTATGATTGACGATGTTAACGTATTTTGGCATGTTTATCTGCGAAACGGAAGGAACAGTTTTTACAATTAGAATTTATTACGAGCGTCCGCTGCAAATCGAAAACTACAATATCAGAAGTTGAAATTGATCATTTAAGTTTAAAGCAAAAGTGATTTGACAAAAAGCATTTACCTTGCCCATCGTCTCTAAATTCTTCGGATCTATTCTGTGCATCACCGGTGCTTCCGTAAACGTGTAATACTCGTCACCGAACGGATATACCGAAATCATCGAATTGTCCGATAGCGTTCCGTTCGGATTAAACACCGCGGCCACTCTGAAAAATTATTAAAAAGTAATTTAAAAATGGGGAAGGAATTTGTGCAAAAATCATAAGCTTTGTCCAAAGCATTGACGAGATCAACGTAAGATTTCTCGCGGTCTACGTGTTAAATATATAATTTTCTTCGCACTAATCGTCAAAAAATTTATGTTTTAATCAAGATTATCTCTATTTCGCTCTCTCTTACTCTCCCGTTTACCTGTGGAATATAGTCTGGCAGGGATCCGGCGTCGCGTTTGTACCGAACTCGCTATAGACTATCCTCTGGGCTGCCATGTTCCTCTTGTACACATCGGTCTGGATGAATCGCCGCTGATAAGTGATCTCGCCATCCGCGATACCGAATCTGGGTATAATTTATTTATGTCAAGTGGAAGAGAGAGTGGTCGGCTTTTATTTCACAGTTTTAAAATGCGAACCTGTGCAGCAAAGCGGAGCTGTCGAAAAGATGCTGGTAGCGATATTTGCCTACTTTCAAATTGCCCGGACCGTTTCGCAGCAGGACGCCCTTCAGCCATTTGGGGACGGTGCCGGTGATTTCGGTCGCTTGTAAAGGCTCGATCACTTCTTTCTCACAACTCCTCATCCACACCGAGGTGTTGCAATTGGCGTAGTAATTTCCCGCCGCATCGGTCGATGTGTCATTTTCATTTTCATCATGCTGTGTAAATAAAATAATATTAATGTATTTAACTCTAATTACATTCATTTTTTATATCGCAAGATATTATATTTGTTGTTATCTGTGATATTCTCGACCGAAAGACCATATGAGAAGACTTACATGAAATTCTGATTTCAACTTTCCACATTTTGCGTGCTCGAAATTATCCAGCACGTTTGACGTGTAGGACGACGAGCCATTAAATGATGTTACGAAATAATTAACGTACTCCATTTGTAATTTTTGTTCTTCTTTTTCGTGAAGATCTATTCCGATTATACTTAATGTAATTACAGTGATCAAATTATGTGATATTTCTTCTGAATTTTATTTTACACGCGCATGAAACTTGTTCACTTTTTTAGAACGACATATCTTATTGTTCGGAAATTGTCGAATTCGCCCAATTTCTCGTATAGTTCATGCACTTGTTCTTCGAGAGATATTAAAATATTCAACGTTTAGAAACCGTCCGCAATAAAAACTTATAATCGCATCACCAGATTATAACTTTGACACAATTTTTCTTGTATACAGGAAAATATATTTTTCGCGATCACGCGTTCTCTTCCTCCTCTTCTTCTTCCTCGATAGCATTATTCGCGATCGCCAATACGAGTGGCCTCAAGATCGACGAGAGTATCTGATGCACCCTTACGTGGGTGAAATCCATCATTTGCGGCGTACGTCCCGACAACAAGTGACGACGCGGTGCGCAGCTCTGCTGGTCTTAAGAGCGACGTTATGCTTTGGACGTTGCTTTAATCCGATTTAACAAGTGACATTAGTTAATCGAAGCCTCTGATCGGCTCTCTCGTATGCGGCATCCGCCCGGCTTATTGAATTTCACGTGGAAAACCGCGACACGTGACCGCAGATCGGGCACGTGATCCACTTTCCGCATTGGATTAAAGGGAGCACTCCAAGTAAACATATTTTCGAGGGAAAAATCGTGGCGAACATGTTTTAAATATTTATTATGTATATAGAATATAATAAGAAAAAAAATTTTTTTTCTTATTATTTTCTTATTATTAAATATATACATATATAAAATAAAAAGAAAAAAATATACATATATATATTTAGCCAAAAAAATCATAGATTCTATTTGCAAAGAAAGAAAGTAACGTAGTAAATATATCTACTGTCAAATTATAACGAATTATTTTTTATATCATATTCGATACATGCATACGTTGATGCAATGTAAAAAATGAACAAGACTTTGCAACAATTACGTAAGAACACAGTAGATGTATATGTCGAGACTTTACGACTGCACTATGATATTTATTTTCCATAAAACAGTTTGAATCGCGAAATCAAACAAATTTATTTTGTCTTCATTTTTTGTTTTATATATGTTTTATTTCATTATAATAGATATTAAATTATCATAATTTTTTATTCAACTACAATAATAAAATAAACGAAAAAATTAGAGTAAAGAATAAATTTTCTAGCTTATCGACTACGCTTATTTATGCTGATCATGCAGAAAGACAATCTATAGAGGACACCACAATTCGCATTTCGCAATTGCTGCTTATTTTTATCTTATTCTTTTTTCTTTTTTATGATATAAAAGAAAAAATATTATTCTTTTTTCTTTTTTATGATATAAAAGAAAAAATGTTTAATAACAAAAAAATTTAATACTTATAAAAATAAATAATCAGGTGCGAAGCAATTAATAATTATGTCAAATTAATAATTATAGCAAATTATTATATCAAAACTGAGTAACGATATTTCGAAAGAATGGTAATTATATTTTTTTTTAGCAATTAGTAATAATTATCTTTGAATAATGAAGTGACGAATATAAACAAAGTCTCTTTGAAAAAAGCCTTTAAATTTTTATTTATTTTCAAACTGCATTTTTGATTAATTTTTTCTGTTTTTTTTACACTTTGTAACACTAACCCAGAATATTATTAAATCAACACGATGAGTTGTTACTCTGATGTATAAACTATGCGCGCATTTCAACATAACGCGCAATATTTTAATCGAATAATTTATCATGTGAAGCTCATTGATTTAATGAAAGCGATTAAATTACTCGTATTTTATCGTCGTTTTTTGCATATTTCAAAGACATTTATCCGAATAAATTCAAGTCGTATTTTTTTAGACATACATAATCAATCTCTCGAGATGTATAATAGAAATATTCTCAAATTTTATTGTTTATAAACGTAAAAGACAACAGTCATTTGATTCTATCGGGACCACATCTATTGCCTCGAAAACTTTTAAATAATTCAATAAAGAAGGAAAATACATATAATCCAATTACAGGGATCTAATAGACATTTGCATACAATTTTCCATGTATGGTTTACAAACAACAAATATATAGAACATTATTTCTAACTTACAATATAAATATATTTCCACACTGAAAAAAAATCTGATTTTATTAATGAAAATCGGGTAGATTCAACCAGTACGTTTGTTCGACGAATTAGAATTCTTATAGGATTTATCAGGCGAAAAATTAATTTTTTCCTGTAAAATCAAAAGAATTTTTTATTGTTCGAATCATTTCTCCTGTTAAATATAGCAAAAATTTTTTGTTGTGTGAATGAAGTCTTTTTTAAATTAATACATTTTTTAATCCAAGCATATATTAACTTCCAGGAATTATCAGGTTCTTGAATTAATTTTGGTGCAGAACTAAAATTGTATTATCAAATTATATCTTTTAGTTACTTTCATCTTCGATCCCAAATGAAAAATTTCATGGTTGGTGCGCTTTTTATTTTCTTCTATGTGATTCTTAAATATAAGATAACGTTCATCTGCACTCGTTGGCGGTATTGCGGGGAACGTCTATTAAATTAATCTGAAGTCTTATGAATCCTAACTGGAAAATATCAATCAAATCCGTATAGTGAAGTTTATCAAACGTTCTAGTTATAAAATATCGAATCCTATTATTATAATCACAAATTCTGTTTGGTTTTACCAAAATTCATTCAACATATGCATCTGTTGGTACAATCAAACCATTTTTTTCTCAGCGTTTGCAACTAGATGTACCCCGTCAATTCCCCCCCTAACAAAGTTTCCTACACAAAATTATAGCGTCGCGTCAGATCTCTTTCTCTCCTCGTTTTTTACTTACCGGGAACAAATCTTCGATATCATACCACGAAGGTGGCGGCTTGGCAATTTTCTTCTTGCGGTAAGACGTGAACATTCTGAACGGAAACACACGATGCGTTAGGAAGATGAATACTGACGACGTCTCTCTTGGACACGATTGAATTCACTTGGAACAGCTAGCCAAATTAGAAAAGTCGCAAATAAGACAGACACGACGAGCCAATCGGCTTGTAGTTTCTTAGCCTGGAAAAAAATTGCTTTATAATGCGATAAAAATTATTTATCTGTTGCGCAGAAAGAGCGAACAAAAATGTAACTTGTTTATCTTCTTTCTTGATAAAACAAAAGAAAAATAACAAGATAGCAAAAGCGAAATAGAAGGTCAACATTCTCTTCTGGAGAAATAATTTTTAATAACAAAATTCTCAATACACCTCAATACACAACATACACAGCAAACATTTTTGATAATTTAGATAAATTTAATATATAAAAAATATATTAAATTAATGGATATATTATATACAGGATATCCTATTTTAATTTAGATACCAAAATATTTCGAAAAAAATTTTTTAAATAAAAGTTGTAAGGTTAAAAAGGGCCATCAGATAAGCTACTTAGATTTTAGCTCCGGGACCTGCTTTAAGTTCAATAAGATCTAGGTTGATTTCTTTCGATGGAAACGCCTGTGTTTTATTACAATTTCGTATTCTATTGGAAAAAATAAGGAAATTTTACTTCTAATTAATAATTTTTTGCTAAACCTCCTTTAACAGGTGCAAAATAGCGTTTAAAATTCTTATTTTGAAACACATTCCGGCCAATGAAGATAAGCCTATCCAAAGTGTGGGCCTCGGATCCAAAATTTAAATAACTCATCTGATAGCAGTCTTCAAACCCTACAATTATTATTTGAAATATTTTTTTCAAAAATGCATTGTTTTGGTGCATGTCTAAGTTAAAATGGGACATCCTGTATATTACTATTTAATTTTTATTAATATCTATGTGTATCAAATAATATTAAATTATATTTCCAATTATTTTTGTTTATGTTTATTACAAAATTGTGTGTATGTGTATGTGTGTGGATAAACAGAAATAAGATTAATAAATATAATTCTAGAATCACATGTTTGTTGAAGAGTTTGTGATTAAAATGAGGTTATATTATGGAAAGTTTTGATAATACTCGTATCATTTACGTTTCGATTAAAATCAATGCTGCAATATTTTTGACATTCGTCGAGAAATATTGTTATCTTCATGCGGGCATGCGCGATATTTGTCAACAGTGAATTCGAGGATTAAAATTGCTACCGTTCAACTGTACCAGATCGAGTTTTTGCTCGAACATTGTATATAATCACCCTAATTACTTTCACAATTGGAAGTAAAATAAGTACAATAATGTCGTGCGTGTGCTGACCCGCGCGAAATCGTGATAAGAGAAACAATAGCCTTGACATTTTGCTCACATAACAAAAATTTAAATATGGTTTAATTACATTTAGTGATAAGTAAAATTAATTAATTAATTAATTACCAGCACTTAATTAATAATCATGGTTTATGATTAATTATTATTTATTAATATGACCCTTTCGGGACATTGACAGTTAAAGACATCAATCCTTACGATTTTCTAGCAGTTTTACAAATAATACAATGAGAATCTAGCGATAGCGTAACAACTTCTTTGGATCAGAAAAATAAAACTGACAAAACTGGTTGTTTATAAAAGATGTCTATTAGTTCCAGTTAATCACTCTTTGACAGCAGAGGCTGATAAAAAATCCGATGACGAAAAAATAAAATTAAAAAAAGTCAACCTAATGTCAACGCTTCGATTAACCGAGCTTAGATGAGATAACATAATCAATGTTCGAAGTTCGAAGGGAAAGAATGAATCGAGCGTTTTATCGTTTTCTATACTTCATTTTATCTACCACGCGAAGTTCGCACGAAAGACTTACGAGTTCGAATAATGCAGTTATTCGATTTCGCGCGTGCGAATGCGTCGCGAGCAGTATGTGAAGCCGCGGATATCCAGGCCAAGCGAGCGAGCGCAAGCAAACGAGCGCCAACGAACGATCATTGTAACTTGCTCGTACGCGCTTGTTCGCGATCGCTCGCTCGCTCGAACCCGGCTCAATGCACATCTCGCGCTCCACCTCGCTCGTCCGCCCGCGGGTGTTTCGCGCGGAACGCGGCAGCGCCCGTCGCGGTCGCCCGTCCCTTTAACGCGCGGAACGCACATGCTTGCACCACGTGTCACTCACGTGCTCGCGAGGCGAGAGGCATGTCGCGTGAACGCGCACGCCAATAAAGTCGAATTAGTGTCGCTACGTACCCGGTGGTTGGAAAACAATATACGGTCTGTCTTCGTTCGAGGCGCCGTTACGGAACGCCTCGTTAGAGAGCGTCCCCTTGGCTTCACCTGGGATTCGTTTCCGCGGCGATTTGCGTTTACGTAACAATCGAATTACTGCACTCCGGATAAAAGAGCGGCTAATAATCTCCGGTCCGTTTAGGTTCGATAGACGATAGTGGGTAAGAAAAATGAAGAAATCGGCTTGAAACACGTATAATCTGTAAATTAGAAATGTAATTTATATCTTCTTTTTTTCACACAAGTACAGCGGTCTCCTAAAGATTTACTTTGTAAAACACTATTATACTTGTACGTATATTTATTTTATGCTCACATTTTCGTTAAAAGTTTTCAACGTCTCTCCGCCTCTTAGATTTTCTGTTGCGCTATCCTATACATTCTCCAGTAGATTCCATTC